CCCCTGTTTGTCCTTCATGCTGCATGCATGGGTATAGAAACATTTCAGGTGTGGTTTGTCATAGCTGACACTTCATGGAGTAGATTGAGTGATCCCATTAGTGCTCACTTCCTCAAATTTTGGCACACAATCCCTCTGCCTATCACTGGCCAGCCTGGTTTTGTCCCTTTCCCCCTTCCAATCTAGCTTAAACCTCTATTCACCAGCCCTGCTAGCTCCTGTGTTAGAACCCCTTTCCACACCCATCAGGTGTCAGCAGACCAGGTGTGGTATAAATCACCTCAAGGTCATAAAACCCAAAGCTTTTGGGGTGATATCAGCCTCAGAGCCACGTGTTGATCTGCAGGATCTGCCTGTTCCCTTTGATATGTTTCCTTCCTACTGAAATGATTGAGGAAAACTCTACCTGTGCTCCTGATCCTTCAACCAATCATCAAAAAATGGCACAGGCTGTCAGGCTATCATCAGAGAATGCCTTGGCCAGGAGGATCCTCCTGGAGTGAGCATTCCAAAGAGCTGCCGCTGCTGTTGCCTCATCAACTGATTGTCTTCCACAATTACTCAAAGCAGAAGAAACAAAAGTTTATTTGTTTTTTTTTGCTTTGGTGCCCATGAACAAACTTACCACAACCTTTCTTTCTGACCTGATAGAGTGGGAAAACACTTCTGTTGTCCCCACCATACATGTGGAAATGTTTTCTGATTTATTCCCAGTGCTTCTTAAATGGCTTTGCCTAGTAATTGTTCTGCAACCCTTACGCCCAAATATTGCTTCGTTGAGATAAGTGTTGACCAGGAGAATCAGCCATTACAAGAGAGAAATTAAGTTGTGCAAGTAAGAAGCTGTGTTCTATGAGATGAAAAAACAAGAAGGATCAGTGAACTCCATACCCACAGTGTGTCCAGTATAGTCAGCTGGAGGAGGAGAAAGCCTTTGCTAAAGTCTTTCATGGGAGCACAGCTAAAAATCTTGACAAATAAATTTCAAGGAGCAAGTGGTAAATGGGAAATAAGTGCTAGTAATTGTGTTCAGCTTGTTGCCTACCAGCTGGTGGCCTGGAAAATAATCCCAGGTAGGGAAGATGGAACCTGAGATCAAATTGCCAGTAAGGCAGCTGTGGGAGCACAGTGAGAGGAAGGTTAATCTTTACATGCCAATGCAAAAGGTGCTGATTCTAGGACAGGACAACCTCAACCTCACAGAGGGTGGAGGGACAAAGAAAAAGGATCTATAGTTGTTTGGGAATGTGTTCTTTCTGTTGCTTGGAATAAATATCTTTGGAGTGGCATGGCTGAAGGAAATCAAAATGAAGACAGTCACTCCCTGGGTAAGGAAAATCTGGGAAGATCGACAGGGATCTAAGCTAAGGCTTTGAAACATAACACTCACAGAGGTGAGTGTCACCAGAATGACAAAAGTAAAAGGCTGGAGGATGGTTTGTTGTGGATAATTTATAGTAGTTTAATTCAGAATAAAATAACTTATAGGGATTTTAATCATAGTTTAAATCACCAAGTGAGCAAATTTGAATTAAGTGATGTTAATCACATTTTGTAGGCATATTTTTAAAGGATTTTCTTCCCAGAAGGTTGATTCTCATTGTTTGCTGAAGATTCAGAAATCCTAAACTAAGAACACAAAATAACATTGTTTGTTTGTTTGTTTGTTAGCAAGGAGAACACATTACATAGACACACAAGTGGTTCTGTAAATTAACATGCATTCAGTTATTTATGTGACTCACATAAACATGAAATGTCATGATTTTGTAAACTGTTGAATTGCATTTCCTATTTACTAAATAATTCCCTTGTTTATTCCAGACTTGACAAGATGTTTGTGGAATTGGAATAGTGGAAAATTACCCCCTAGAATTTTCAATTAGTCTTGAAAATGAATTATGATGAAGAGATCGAAGAAATGCTTTGTGTTTAAAGTTGAGGTATTTATTAAACAAAGCTTAGGAAACTGAGGTGTCTATTGCAATAAATCCCACACCTAATGATTGCTCAGATAGGAAGAGGACACCAAGCTTTCTGACTTGAATATCATCTAAATTTGTGGATGATTTTCTCCAAGACTTTTGCAATAAATGTACTGTGCTTTGATTTTGCCAAACCTCAAAATGCATCTACAATATACTACCAAAACCGAAATACATGGAGTAAAAATAAATGTGCTTCCCACTGGAGCGAATTGCATCAGTGCTATTCTAGACTGAAAGTTGATTGTGGCAGGAAACACCATTTCATTTGGTATTTTACATTACCTAAGTACAGTTGTGTCATTTTTCATAAGACTGAACCACTGATTTTAAGAGAGGAAAAAATTATTTTGATCATAACTTATGCTTCTTCATTTAAGGAAAGAAAGATGCTCAAGCTGATAAATTTGTTATCCTCTGGTGACCTGACATGCCATTGAGATCCTGGGCACCTGCACATTCCAGAAAGCTCTGCTAAGACAGAAAAACAACCAGTTGGACTTTGCATAGAATCAGAGATCCACAGAATGGCCTGAGTTGGAAGGGACCTTAAAGATCATCTAGTTCCAACCCTCCTGGGCAGGGACCCTTCATGAGAGAAGATAATGAGTTGCAACACAGTCTTGTCTTTGTTCTCTATTTAAGCTCTGTGTATACAAAGAGCAAGTACATAAGTCCTTCCCTCGCCATTGTTTAAAGCTTTATGTGGGTAGAAATACAACAGTTTGTAGGTTACAGCAAGAGTCTGGGGTGTTTGTACCTCAGGGATTCTTATGGCCATTATTATATGCAGGTAACTCTTGGATCTGTTCTCTGACAGGTCATCCATGATCTCTGCTTACACACTGGATGCTTTATTTTTCCTGCAGTAGGTGTCTGCCTTTCAGAGCAAAAGGAGGAGGAAGTGAAAGGAAAGAAAAGGCACCTCTGGAAGAAAGGATTGTCAGCAAGATTTAGTTTTCCTCTCAACCTCTGCCTTATGAGGAAGGTGAACTGTTGCCTCTGGGAGAATTCCTTAATCTTTTCACTGAAGATGAGGAGAGTAAGAGATGGTGTAGGAAGGGAGTGGATTTTACTCTTGTTGCCTTTGCAAGCCAATACGATGATATTTGTACCTTATTTCTGGAGTTGTGAAAGAGTTTCTACAGCATGTATTTATTCTTCTAAAGACTTCTAACAAAACCAAAATACTTTTTTTGGAATATCAGCTTTGACAGACCATCTTTTTAATTATCTTTTGGAAAGTCACAGCCATCAAAATCAATATTCTCTTATAATGTGGGTGCAGAATATTTTGTTTCCACATTAGAATGGAGATGTGCAGCTTATCTTGTTCACTGAGTTCTTGATCTGTGTGCACATGGTATGGAAAGGTCAGTGAAAAAGAACTGAGGATATCCTGGAATAAAACAGGCAAGCAGAAGTATGGGGCAGTTTAAGCTGTGGAAAAGGCCAGTTCATGGAAAACCTGTGGGTGAAACTCAGTACCCAGAATCCAGGAAAGGAAAGAGCAGAGCCCCAGAGTCACTTCTGCCCTTCTTTGGTGTGAGCCTGCAGCATTACACTTGCAGCATGTGCAAATCCACAAAACACCACTGTGCTGGTTTGAGCTGAAATAGAGCTAACTTTCTTCACAGCAGCTAGTATGGGGCTATGTTTGGGTTTTGTGCAGAACACAGAGTTGATAATGCAGAGATGTTTTTGTTATTGCTGAGCAGAGCTTACACAGAGCCAAGGCCTTTGCTGCTTTCTGTACTGCCACACTGGCAAGGAAGTTGGGGATGCATGGGAGACTGGGAGGAGACACAGCTGGGACAGGTGACCCAAACTGACCAAAGGGATATTCCATACCATAGGACATCATGCTCAGTATATAAGGTGGGAGGAAGAAGGAGGAAGGAGGGACATCTGGAGTGATGGTGTTTGTCTTCCCAAGGAGCTGTTACATGCTGGGGCCCTGCTCTCCTGGAGATGCTGAACACCTCCTGTCTATGAGAAGCAGTGAATTAATTCCTTGTTTTGCTTTGCTTGTGTGTGCAGCTTTTGCTTTCTCTGTTAAACTGTCTTTATCTCTATCTTTAGCTTTTACCCTTCTGATTCACTCCCCCATCCCGTTGGTGGGGGTGTGTTAGTGGCTGCACGGGGCTTGGCTGCTGCCTGGGGTTAAACCACGACCACCACCCACCCAAGCACGTTCTGGGGGAGCGTGTGGTGTCAGGGAGGTGTGACTGACCCGCAGAGCACAGCACTGAGCGCAGGGCAGTGATGCCTTCCAGCCTATTTCCCCACCCCTGGCTCCTGCCTGCTGGCCAGGGAGCCTGACAGCATGGGAGAGGCACTGAGGGTGGTTAACATGAAGGATGGGCACCACATCCATCTGCCCGTCAGTCCTCTCTGAACTCCTGCGTTTCAGGGTCCTCTCCTCGCAGCAGAGCTGCGCTATGTTCTCTGTGGCCACAGCTCAGGTTTTCCTCTTTGCCCTCCCTGCCCAGCTGCGCCGCACCGGGCACTGAGAGCCGTGGGGAAAGGCAGCAGCTGTGCCAGGGCGAGGCTGCCCATGCCCGAGGGGAACAGCACGGCCCCGGGAAGGAGGCGGCTGAGAGCGGGACCGGCGGCTGCAGAGTGGGAGGAACTGCGAAGTGAGGTGGGAGGGAGAGTTGGGAGGCGAGTGGGGCTGCGCTGGGGCCGGTGCAGCCCTGGGGGTGTCGGTGCGGTCCTGGGGGTGTCGGTGCGGCCCTGGGGGTGTCGGTGCTGGGAGACTGAGGTTAGGGCAAGGCGCTGTTTGTCACGCTGGGCTCTTGGTTAAACTCTTCAGTTGGCGAGTCCCCAAGCTTTAGGCCTTTCTAGAGGGCTCATTTCTGTTCAGGCAGTGGCCCCGTAGCCTGTGCAGGTTTGCCCCTTTCAGGCAGCCTGTGGCTACTGCCGAAATACGCTGCACTGGTGTCTGTCCCTTCCCCATCTCCTCCCATCTGTGTGGAAAAGCTGTCACTCTCCAGGTCTCATCTCCTCTTCTAGATGGAGCCAACAGTGGAGTCCATATTTTCTGTTTTCCAGAGCCCTGAGAAGAGTGATATTGCAGGATATACAGGTGAGCTGTAAATTCTGATAGCTAAACCCTAGGGGGAAGCTTAAGAATCCACCAAGTGGTGCTGGGGGCATTGCATTCCTTCTCAGCTGGCTGCTCTGCCCTGGGATGCTGGGATGGCACAGCGTGCTGGGCGCAGGGAAGGCTGTCAGTTGTATTCCACATTTCTGCTGTGGGTTTCTAGCACCTCTGAAGATAAGGCAGTTGAGTTCATTTGGAGTGAAGGAAAGCCTGCACACTTCTCTTTTTCAGGCTTTTCCACAGGTGGGGAGGGTCTGGGGGAGATAGCTGCATGTGCAATACATGACTCCCCAGCACTAGTTGTGGATGAGAATGGAGAGTTGTTTGGTTCCCATTTCACTGTTTGAGGGTCTCTGCATGGATCTTGGGAACATTGGCCTCTTGGCTGTAGCACAAGGAATGACTGCACCTGCCAGAGAGTCTTCTTCATTCCTCTGGGAGAGAGCTATCTCCTGGGTATAATTCCTTGATGTGAGAGATAAGACTTCCTCCTTCAGTAAGTTTGTTTATTTTATTGCTGGTATTTAAGTCTTGGTAGATGTGGCCATGTAGAGAGAATTTTTCCTCTTCATGGACATGTTACTTAGGAATTTTACTCTTTGATGTCATAGAGGTAGGACTGAAATTGCACTGCAGAGTTTGGTCTTGAATGAAGATAGCCCAGTTTGGTTTTTTGTGGGGTTTTTTGGTGTTTTTTTTTTTTTTGTTAATGGAATAATCAAACTACTTTTGTGTAAAATGTATGAGTAATATTTTAACACTCGATCAGGCATGCTGATTGCTAAGTCCTCTATTTGAATTGATGGTAAACATTTGAAGATGCTTGCAAAAATCAGACTTGGATAAGTGTGCATCAGGGGGTACTTACAGTTCTGTTAATGCTGAACTGATGTAAATGTAAATCTAGTCAGCAGAGTAAGACAGCCAAAGCTTACTGCGGGGTGTGTGATCATGCATGCTCATTTGTGAAACAAATAGGTTGCATTCTTTAGGTAAGAAAGGGCTGTGTCTGAATGTTTCCTGTGAGAAGCTTCAGAATGCAATTTATTTAGCTTGTTAATACAAAGAAAGTAGGTGTTGTGCTAGAACTAGATATGAAAAGAGATAGTTAATTGGGAATTACTTAATTTTCTATCAATAAAATTCCTTTGACTTCTGATGTATAAATATATTGTATCCTTATAGCAATTACAAATGTTGGTGTGACAATTGGGGGAAAAAAACTTTATATGCCAATCTGTAAAAGACATAATTTAAATTTTTCTATTAAATATGAACTAACACAAGTGAGAAACAACCTAAACCTCCATGTTGGTTATGCCTAATGAAGATTAAGGAGACTCCTGTGCTGAATGATCCCTGCCCAAATGCACAGCTTTAAAACAGTATCAGTGCTGGTTTAGCAGGCTGCAGAGCTTTTGAGCAAAGTCTGCAGGAGCAGATATCTCACCCATCACAAATACCTACTTTTAGCTGTTTCAGCATGTTCCTTTTCCTTCCTTCATTTTGACAGTCTCCATTTGCCATTCCCTGTGGGAAAGAAGAACAAGGAAATGGGGAGGGGAAGGAAGAGAAGAGGTAGGTTTCTTACCTCTCTCTTCTTCTCTTTGCCAGTTTTCCCCCTCAATTTTCTTCTTATCTCAGTCTTCAAAATTTCCCTCCCCCTTTGGAAGAGGGAAATCTAGTGTAAGATGAAGCTAGGCCTAGGAAATTCAGTTATTTTCCAGTTATTGTCTTGGGGATGAAGGAGTGTTAGATTGCTCTCTTACTCCATCAGGGCACTGTACTTTGAGTAACCATGAGGAAGAGAAAGGCATCCCTGCAGATCTCAAGCAAGATATACTGCCTCAGCTCCCTGAAACCCACAGCCCAGAGAGGGGAGCAGCCTGTAATGAACCCCCTCACCAGAAAAGAGACTCCAAGAAACTCGTCCTCGTTGATGGCCAGAAACTGCTCTCCGAAGAGAAACCCTTCAAATGTCCAGAATGTGGGAAGGGCTTCAAGGGGCACTGCAGGCTCCTGAACCACCTGCAGATACACACAAGAGACAAAACATTTGTGTGTGGAGAATGTGGGAAGGGCCTTAGCAGCAAGGCCAGCCTGGTGGCCCACCAGAGAGTCCACACGGAGGAGAGACCCTACAAGTGCAAGGAATGTGAGAAAACCTTTAGCCGTGCCTCAAACCTCCTTGCTCACCACAGAACCCATATGAAAAAGAAAGCCTTTTCCTGTACCACATGCAGAAAAAGCTTCAGTGACAACACAGCTCTCTTGCAACATGAGAGAGTCCATGCGGATGATAAGCCCTGTAGGTGTACAAAGGGTGGAAATAGCTTCTGTTTAAGCTCTAACTCCATCACACATCAGTATTTGAGAGAGAGACCCAGTGAACACCTAGCAGGTAACTGAATTAAGATCTGTTGCATTTTATGTCAAGCTCATGGGAGATGTGTGAGGTACCCTGGTCTCCACTTGTTCCTAAACACTTCTTCCTCCTTGCTGTGGATACACTTCTTCCTCCTTGCTGAGTGTTGAGTGGGGTTTTTGTTTGTGTGCATTTCCCCATGTTCTTATATATATATTTATCTCTGTCATTGGAAGAAGTGCCTTGAAAATGCCAAAGTTATAATCCAGGTGTTGTCATGAAGGCTGACAGGGATCTTAGACTCTTCAAAGCTCTCAGATCCCACTAATTCCTGCTTTGTACTGTTACCTGATGCCCAGGCCTAGATCTTCACAAGTGTATAGCCGACGAAATGCCAAGCTTAGGGAAGTGGAAGGGATTTGGACTGAATCAGACCCTTGGTAGTCTATAACAGCTATTTTTTGTTTACATGGATATTAAATTAGTAGCTCTTTGTTGTCTGCTGGCTATCCCTTGGGAATACTCTTAGCATAACACAGGCTGTCAGACAAGGTGATTGTTTCAAGTAGGGAATTTTCTGGATTTTGCAGCATTTCATGTTCTTGTAATGACCAGGAACTCTGAGATAAAAACTGACATTGTGGGGTTTTTTCATGTTGTTGCACCTTTACATAGGAAGTGCCTTTATACTTGGTAAAAAATGTTTTAATTTTCCTGTTGGGTCTTGCCTAGACACCCATAGAATTGTTCTGGGTGTTGGGATCTTGACCACCAGACCGTGTAACAGCAGGGCAAGGAAGACCTGAGGCCACATGACAAACAGGTGTTTTGTGTGTGAGGCTTTTCTCTGGGTTTTTTTTATCATTTTAGTTTAGGGGTTTTTTTCTCCTGGTGGAAAAAAATCTGGGCTGAAGAGCCTTCCATCTTAGCAATGGAAATATGGTGAAGTTGTAATGAATACTAATGAAGTTTATCATGAAATGGCAAAACTGAATTCCTAGGTAGAGGGTTTGAGGTCTCTCAGTCCATAGATACAGAGAGATGCCCGAGTAACTCTAGCTGCTAATGAGCCTTAAAGATGGGACCTTGTTTCTAACTTGATGGCTTTTAATAGGTTAGGGGGGTTTTGATGTCAGAGTTTGTAATTCATAAGAAAAAAGGTCTCATTTTTGCCCTGGCAGTTGGACTATGATTAATATCAGGTCAGTCTAATACTGTATCTGCTAGTACAGCAAGTGTGCAAACACAAACACATTTCTGCTGAATCTTAACTGTCCTGTTCCTTAACAGATCCCTTTGCTTCCTTCTCACACTGCACCAAGCCGCTCCCCTCCCCCCCAAAAAAGCCCCAAACCACAAAGGTATGAGGGAAGCAAGAGCAAGGTATCTTTGTTGTGCTAAAATCAAAATCTGTCATGTTTCAGGTGACTGTGTCTGCCTCATCTTTGTTCTGGTTCAGCTTAGTTTGGACCAAGATGTGACTTGAACGAGGTTTTAAGTTTAAAATATGGGTGAGAGCAAGGGTCAGTATTGACCAGCCATGTTTGCCATGCTGACCTAGCAACTCTAGACTTACATTGTCTGCCTTTTAGATGCAAACCAATCTGAATTTACATCTCTGCATCATAAAGAAGAGCAAAGGTGTGGTGCAGAGAAACAGGAGACAGATCACTTGAATTCTGTTTTTGAGGAGTGTAAGTATAAAAAGACTTCCAAATTTCCATGCAGTGTATTTTTACATAACAAGCATTAATGTTCTCTTCTCTTTGTACAGTGAAGAAGATGAGGGAAAACATGGATATGCTGCTTCTCAATCAGCAAAGTCAGCTGCAGGTCCTGCAAGAAATTCAGAAACAACTGAATATACTCCTCCCAGGCAATGCTCTCATTAATTCCAATGTTTACAGCTTAGGACTTATGCTAGGGCAGCAGGCAACTGCAGCAGCATCGATTCCTTGCCCCCTCCTTAATCCCAGCAGTTTTCTCCACGGAAGTGCCAGGGTCTCATCCCATTTATCTGCCTCTGGAATTCTGCCTACTAGTCAGCTCTCACTCTCTCGAGATCCTGCAACTTTTGCAACTTGATCCGCTTTGTGCTGTGAATGTGTCCACAGTGAGGACACGTGACTACTGATTTGTAAAGTTTTGTCACTCGGACATGTGATCTATGTTGTGATGTTGGAGTTGTTGTACCTGTGAAGTGCTGACTCAGACTTGCCTCAGATGCATCAGAAAGCAGCAGTTGATCCAATTCCCTGGGGGCCCATTCATTTGCTGTAGGATGCAGAGGCTTTGGCCAGTAAGGAATTTTGTCGGGGCAGCTCATGAGATTATCACTGGGGTGTAGTTAAATCCAGCATCCATATATAAGATCATGCATAAAACTGAAACTTACTTTTCTACCTGATATGTCTTTAGCATGTACTTGGGCAATTGTACCTCTCCCAATGAGCTGAAACTAATGATAAAGCATCCCTGAGGGTTTTATTAATCATCTCCTGTTAAATCTGATTTATATGGAGGAAAGCCACATGCTTATGTAATGGTGTTCAATTTAACTGCACCTCTATTCCCAGCATCCATTTGCAAGAGCTTCCTTCCTTCAGGATGTCTTTAAATTAGGTGACTTTAACTTGGCTGATTCATAGGCAGCATCACTGATAAAACTACAAAATAGGAACTTTCTGGTTTTGTTTAAAGCAAACAACTCTTCCTTCCTGCTCCCTAAAAGTACCCCCAAAAAACCAAACCAGCAAACTCTCTTGCCAAAAAAACTCCCAACAAATAAAACGCAAAAAAAACCCTCCTCAAAGCAAAAAAATTAACATCCCCCCATCAAAATACCATCTCTGAGGTTTACCTTGCCTACTAAGAGTTTGAGGAAAAGCCAAATGGGTTTATAGGGCACTTGTTCTTTTGTTCAAAAGTTAGTTGAGTCTGGTTTTAGATATTCTATCCATGTAATCATCCTACTTGGATTATTGCATGTGATTGACTGTTGTATATTAATTCACTGGGATAAATAATTACTGTTTGAGGAGGAACACTGAGAGGCTCAGGTGCACCATCTCGTGAAGTCTGCAGAGGAATTAGGATGTTTTCTTTTCCATTTCTGCAGGTCTGACATGGAGCTTGTCAGGGGTTGGAATGTGAAGAGTTGTAAGACCTATTAGTCTGTTCTGCCTTGTTTCCAGCTGTGGTGCAGGCTAGTGGCAGTGTCTGGAGCCTTTGAATTTCAAAAGTGCGAGAAAGCTAATTTACCTTTGAACAGCAGCTGGAATAAAGCAACTCTGGGGCTTGTTCCTGTGCCAGTCTTTCTCTTGAACTGACTGAACTTGAGCTGTGTTCGTGGGTTGTTGGTTTTGTGGTTTGTTTTGGGAGTTTTAAGATGTCCTGTTAAAATGATGTACTGTTAGTAATTAGTAAAACATCTTTTAGATTTTAAGAATGGGAAACACTACTTCTCTTAACAAGTCATCCTGATGGTGACAGTCACATTCTGGCCCAAAGAGAAGACTATGGGACCAGGTATGACACTCTTTTGGGTGACTACAGACTGTGAAAATCACACACTGGTTTTTATTATGTGGGATTTTATGTTAGTCCTAACTTGTTAGGATATTAATTTAAGCCAAATTGAGGGGCCTTAAAGGGCATCTCTCCAATGTGATCTTGTACTGAAATGTTAGGGGGGTGTTTTCCATCAGTTGAGCATATCAGAGTCATGTGGCTCTAGGATTCAGAGCTTCAGTAAGAGTCACTAACATTCCATGGAGACTCTGGGGTACTGTTCATAATTTCTTGGATGTTAATGTCATTTTGCTTAGAAGCAGAATCCTCTCTTCAAATCAGTGTTCAAAAATTTGTATTTTAGTTGGTTTTAAGATGCTTATCATTAAAATGTTGCATTTTTGTTACAAATTAATCTCTGAGTTTTTGTCCTTTGTAAATAAGCACCAGTGCTTAGACTTTGATACCTGAACAGGAGTTCAGTTACTCTAGTGTCTGCACCTTCCTTGGCTTCTTCTGCTTTTCTTCCATCTTCCCCTTTTTTTGTATCTAGGCATCTCCTTACATTTCTGTCTTTGGAAACTCCTGAAAAAGAAAACATAGCTGAGCCTGCCACTTCTGCAACTTAGATAGGTAGGAGGAATCTCTTATTTGAGGCCTAGGTAGGAATTTTTTCCTATTGGGAGGGAATTGAATATGATGTTTCAGTTCATAGCTGGCAGGCTCAGGAGAAGTTGGAGGCAAACCTCAGGTGAGCTACATGCTTCTGTGTTGGGGTTCCCTAATGTGTCTGTTGGGTCTCACCTGAACTTGAGGATGAAGTCCTGAAATACCTCTGAGGGCTGGAGGAAGTGTTGGTATAGAGGAGCACAAGAAACCATTGTATTTGCTATTTTTGGGTTACCTCTCACTCCTATACAAGTAAGAATGGACACCAGAGTCCTCTCCCTCTTAATCCTCCTGAGCACTCAAGTGGTTCTGAAAAGCACAAAAGTTTTTAGCTCATGCTAAAGACACTCCTGTTTCTAGGTGGGGTGAGGCTTGGGGGCTTCTTGCTCATCTTGGAAGGTATCTAGAATGCTGCTTGTCTCCTTTTCTTTCTTGCAGTTCTCTGGTAATGATGTAAAAAGGTGTGTATGTGGGGCAATATCTGATAGCCTGCCACAGATACTGGAGAGCTTTGAGTGTCCAGGAATATGTAAGAGAGTTCACCAGGAGAGTCTCTGTGGTATTTTGAGTCTGTGGTCTGTGCAGGTGTATTTGATTGTTGGGGCCTGGACAGCATGTAGACAAGTGAAAGGTAATCCAGAGGAGATGTGAGGTTCTCTGACACGTGTCAAGTCCTAGAAATGGAGGTTTAATTATCTTTAATCAAGTCCATCTGCTTCTATAAGGCATATTAAAAAAAACCCCGAACAACAAAAGACAAACCC